ATAGTGTAGGGGCAAATATATGGGCTTTTGGATGAAGTAATGGTCTTTATTCCTGTTTCTATAATAAATTTGCAGTGAATCCTGTCTAGCACATATCACATATCTATTGAAACTATTTTATTAGACACTGCTCAGTGAATAGCACTGGCCCATCATCAGATTATTCAAGCCAAAATCCTAGAGTTACCTTTGCTTCCTTCTTTTGCTTCATGTTTGATATCTGGTTCATCACCCCGATTCCTCTTCCAAAATGCAGCCCATATCTGGCTACTCCTGTTGCCTAGTTCAATCATCCATCAACTGTCTGGAGGGTTGAAACAGTCAGAGGCCACTGGTAAAAAGAAAAGTATAATCCGGAGCCCTATTCTTCCAGTGTCCACTTTTGTCCTTCTACAGTCTATTCTCCAGGAAGAACCTGAGTGACTTTTTTAATGTAAATCAAGGTCTGTCACTCCACCTCATAAAACTACTCAACGATTCACATTGAACTTAGAGTACAGTCTATAGGTTCTTATCACAGCCAGTAAGGCCTATGTGATCTGGCTCATTTGGTATGTGTCTCAGTCACTCAGTTCTGTTCTCTGAACACAAGCACATCAGGCACCTTCTGCCCTGGGGCCATGTCCTTGCTTCTGTTGCCTGTAGTCTTTTCCCCAGTTTCTCTGAATAAGGACACTTTAGTTTTCTGTTCAAACTGTCACCTCCTCAGAGACCCCTTCCCTGATTTGTAGTTCCCTCTGATTATAATCTGCCTGATTTATTACTTGTTTATCTCTCATTTCCTGCATAGAAGCCCTGTGTCTCTCTCTCCTCATTTTTGCAGGGTCCACCACAGTGCCTAACTGTAAAGATCACATTTCATTGAGGACTAAGACATGGTCTCTTGTTATATATTTGTATTATATTGTATACAATAGAACATACAATATAATACACATAATTGTATATAATATGCAATTATTACAATATAATATTGTATTATATTATGTGCCATCAAGAAAATAAAAACTGTGAATTAAACTATGGAACAATGCTGAAGACCATTGATTGTAAGACAGTCCTGACTTTTAAGATATTAAAATGCTGAAGAAACTGTGTCCTTGAACTGATGAAATATATATCTTGTTGAATAAATAAATGAATGCACTTTGCTTAATCATGATTACTTGTTTGGTTGTGATTTTTTTTTGAGAAAAATTATTCTGAAAGAGATAGAATATAGAGGCCAAGAGATTACATAGGTCAGGAGTAGCATTTTATTATGAAAAAGGAGATATTCTTACTCTGAAGAACTATGAGTAATTCAAAGAATAGTATGAGGAATTGTACCAAACTGCCTATTACTACCTTAGCAGCAGTGATTAAAATTTTGTAGGTCCTGGGTGGGCCAGAAAACCTGAATTCTCAGCAAACTCTTTAAGAGACTCAAGCAGTTGTCCTGAAAGTAGATTTAGGCCCTGAACATTAAAAGGAAGGAGGACAAAAAAGATGGGGAGAGACATAGAATCTGAGAGGGTTGGTAGTGGGAAGATGAGGGAATATGATCATATATATTGCTTCTATCTGCTTAATAAGGTAAAGATCATTTGGTCCATTGCAGTGGGGTAAGGATTTTGCAGCTTTCAGAAAGAAGAGAAGGCATAGGATAGGCAAAATGCAGAGAGTTTGAGAACATGAAGAAAGTGTCTGTTCTATGCAAGTGGATACTCAGGCAGATTTGAAAAACACTAAAGATGACAAGATCCTTGGTTGGATGTTGGATGACAGGTATCCCAATGTGGTGTGGAAATGAACACTCACTGCTGAAGGAATAATAAGATAACCTGCTCCCTTGAGTTACCTTGGATTGTTCTGGTCCCTAAACTACATTCATTTCTATAAGACCTGACTGTCCCTAGGTGGCTGTGAAATTACTACTTCCATTGCTGATATTTTTGTAGTTAAAATAAATTTATAGCCACCTGAGTGGCTCAATCAGTTTAGTGTCTGACTTCAACCCAGGTGCCCCACATTGGGTTCGCTGCTGTCAGTGCAGAGCCTGATTCAGATCCTCTGTCCCCCTCTATCTCTGTCCCTCCCCCACTCATGCTCTCTCGCAAAAATAAATAAAAATAAACAAACAAACTTATAAGTGAAGGAGGCCAGGTTAAAGCATTGACCAAGGAGCAAAAAATTGACTCCTACCCCCTAAAGTATGCTGTCTCCCAGTAGATAAGATTTACTTGAAATGGCCCAAGGGAACTTTTTCTATGTGGAATAAAAAGAAATTGTTTTTCACATGCTGAAAATTGGAGTTTTTCATTTTCATATGGAAAACATCCACACTTTTAGGATGGTTTCATGCTCTGCTCTCATGATTCCGGTTCATCCGTACACCCTTATCTTTCTATATTCCCACTTTGTGATTCAGTCTTACTGATCATCCTTCAGTCCCTCTGTGGCTGTTGTCTTTAAGTTAGGATGCATGTGCCTTAGGGCAGTATACATGCGATCCAATTAGGATGTGGGGATCGGTGGGCACCCCACTAAAGTGTGCCATATCATCTGACCTCCAGGCCTTTGTCCAAGTTGTATCTTCTGTCTGCTTGAAACATCTTCACCCTTGTTTGGCTAAGTTCTATTAATCTTAAGATCTCACTTGAAACCTTACTTCTTCCAAGAAGCCTCTTCTGAACCTCACAAGGGTAAGGTTACCAAGCCTCCCCTATATCCTCTCCTGACACTCCGTTCTTGCCAGCAGGTGTCACTGCTCTGTGTCATGATTACTTCTTTACTGATAGTCACTTGCAGTGCTTCAGTGCCTAATCCCTTACCTGGCTCAGAATCAGCTTGATAAATGTTGACAGAATATTAAAAGAGGAAATATTTATAAAAATTTAAAAAGTTTTATATGTTTCATTAACCCAGTTTTTAATAATGTCACACATGGGTTGGGTTTTTTTTTTTTTTTTTTTTTTTGGTCTGTTTAAAATCTTTTGAGGATTTATGTCTTGAGCTATAACTGAAAACAATTTATTATAAACCTTAATTTGGGTTATAATCACTTTTCATACTTTCTAACAAGTGTAATAATCAAGAGGTGCCTTGTGGCTCAGTCAGTTAAGCTTCTGACTTCAGCTCAAGTCATTATCTCATAGTTCAAAAGTTCGAGCCCCACGTCAGACTGTGCTGACAGCTCAGAGTCTGGAGCCTGCTTTGAATTCTGTGTCTCCCTTTTTCTTTCTGTCCCTTCCCCACTCATGCTCTGTCTTTTGCTCAAATATAAATAAACATGATAAAAACAAGTGTAATAACCAAATCTGATTGTAACGAAAAGAAGACATCATAAAAAGTAGAAAAAATTGTTTGGGGCTAATATTTGGAAAATCTCTCTAGACCATGTGTTGTATAATAGTGATATAGCATTATGTAGCAATATACACTTTCAGCAGTTTGATCCTAAGAAGGAGGTATATCCAAAGCTGGACTCTCATTATCAGTCTGGCTCATGTCCTTTACTGGTATTAAATGTATCATCCCATGCACCCTTCAGCCTATGGCTTCTTCCTTTTTTTTTATGTTCATTTATTTTTGAGAGAGAGCGTGCATGAGAGCAAGGGGAGGGCGGGGGGCGGGGGAGGGGACAGAGGATCTGAAGCAGGCTCTGCACTGACAGCAGAGAGTCTCATGCAGGAATCAAACTCACGAACCATGTGGGGCTTGAACTCAACTGGTTCAAACTTGTGTGATCATGACCTAAGCTGAAGTCATAACCGACTGAGCCACCTATATACCCCTAGCCTGTGTTACTTTACCTGTCCTCAAGTCTGTGCCAGATAAATGCAAAGTGGAAAAGTTACTATGATGTTAGTTGTGTGTTTTTTTGAAACTGTTCTTTGCGGTGATGTTTTTCTTTCTCCAGACAGTGTAGCTTATCCCCTTTCCCTCCCTCAGTTTTCACAGAGGGCTTTTCTCATTAAGATCAACGTATTTTGCCTTCTCAGAATGTCAGGTGACATTTCACCCAAATGAGAAAGAAATTATTTAGCATCATTTGCCATCTGGGGCCTTCACTGTCTCCCTTTGCTATATATGTTAGGATATATAAAAAGAGATTATGATGCCATGATATATAAATACAAACACCTCTTGTTCACTACTTATGTATAGTATTCTTGGAACTCTTTATTACAAAGTAGTTTTTTTTCTTCATTTGTTAAAATTTAGTTGTGTCCACACTTGGTGCTTTATAGGCTATAATCTTTAGTGCTAACCTTATCTAGTATCCCATACCAAATGCTAAATGTACTCTTCTAGTGTACCTTTCTCCTCTCTCCTAATTCTGTGGTCCTGTGAAAATATTCATTTTATAAATGACCTCAGTTGTGGCCAGATCTCATATGGGTTTTTCGATGTGATTGGTGTAATTTTAATTGCTCCTGTGATTCTGATGACATAAAAACTATTCTATGTTTGTTACATGGAAGAGTCAGGGAAAATGGAGTTATTATTGGCAATATTTCAAAACTACTATGTGTTGTATATATGCATATGTACTTTCAAAATCCTTTTTTTTCTTCCTTAACAGTAGTTAAAGGTGCCCTAAGTTTAGTGCTGAGGTACTTTGTAGTTGGGTTGAAAAATCTGAATCACCTTTTCATCCAACGGTTCCTTTAGCTGGCACATTGAATACCTTCTTACTCTGAGGTTTCTGGAAGGATGGGATGATAATTTGCTTCTTTGGTGAGCCTATGGTTTAGGTCCATTTAAGTTCACTAATATGATGATAGAGAATGCTTAGATATACTGTAAATAATTTTGTAAATGTTATATAGTGATTATTTTGGTACTGCCTAATATAGGTACCAAAATGATTGCCATTTATTTTGTTACAAGTCATGAAAAATGATGAATAATCCTTTATTGTAATCATGAAGTAAGCAATACTGTATGAAAAAAAGAAGAGAAAATTAACCAGTACTTTTAAAAAATTTTTGTCTCCTATTTGCTCTTTCACACAGGTACAGCTTGGCCAAGTAGAAATCAAATGCCCCATCACGGAGTGTTTTGAATTCCTGGAAGAAAGAACAATTACCTATAACTTAACACATGAAGATTCCATCAAATATAAGTACTTCTTGGAACTTGGCCGTATTGATTCCAGCACCAAGCCATGTCCTCAGTGCAAGCACTTTACAACCTTCAAGAAAAAAGGACATATTCCCACCCCTTCCAGATCAGAAAGCAAATACAAAGTAAGCATGTTCACCAGAGTTGTGGGTTAGATGTCACATGATTCCTAATTAGGCCAACTTATGGTGGGCACTAAATGGGTTTCTTTCCCCTAGAAGTCTAAGGTGGGTATATATTGGCTCTGATTCTGAAAATATGTGGTTTGGGGAGGCTGATGATATGAGAGCACTCTTGGGGATTTACGTTTTTCTTTGATTTTAACCATGTTTAAAATTCATCTATCAGCCTAATCAAAAGGCTAATCTTTTAAAGTAATTGTCACTGCTATTACTAAATATTAAGTAAATTCTAATACTTTTTATTTTAGTATAAGCTTGACTTTTTCAATGGACCCAAAGTGAATCTCCTCGGGCTCAGTCTGTGTAAGGTGAAAAAAGTATAAAATGCTTTTCATTCATGTATTCAACACGTACAAAATGCCAGTATAGGCCAGACAGTGTGCTAAATTTGGGGGATACAGAGGCAAATGTGACCTAGTCCTTACTCCAGAAATGTCTAGTGAAGATGAGAGAGACATATGTTCTAAAATGAAAGTTCAATATGATTCGTCAAAAAAAGAAAAAAAAAAAAACGAAACAGAAGAAACAAAAAATGAGAACCCAAATACACTTGTGCTTTGAGAACACTGATGGAGGAGTGGAGGCTGGGATGGCAGGAGAAACTTTGTGCAGAAGATGCAGTTCTCCAAGCAGATAAACACATAAACATTGGAGAACATGTCAGAGCAAGGAATGGGTAAGTGTAGGCCCTGAGGGTGAGGCAGGCATGCTGGAAACAAGTGCTTGGTGGAGCTCGTGGGGAGAGAGCCAGGGACAGGCAGCTGGTCAGGTATTTAAAAGCAGATCATGTTGAGTCTTACACTGTGCCCAGAAGTTTTAATTTAATTGCTTAGGCATTACAGAAAGATCATCCTGGCAACATTAGTAGAGGATGTCACAGATGGGCAAGACTGAAGTCAGGCAAATGAGAGCAGCAACTGTGGGAGCAAGTCACTGATTCATAGCGCAGACTCTGTACATTGCGATCACCCGGAGGGCTTCTAGACAGACACCCAGTGCCCTGGGCCCACCCCAGAACAATTGTCTTGCAAACTTTCGAGCCTCACCTGGTAACTCTGGTATGCAGTAAATGAAGAGAGAAGACGATGAGGCCCAAGGCAGTAGTTTGCATCCTTGTCATTACAGCAGAATGGCAGGATGAAGTGGTTTCAAAGGCTGTTTGAAGTTGTCTCCATTTAAGGTAAATCCTTGCCCATCTTCTGGTCTTGGAAGCAGTGGTTGCTGCATTATTCATTCTGTAGCTTTGAGGGACTGTGGGTTAGCAAGTACCTTCCTCCACTAGTTGCAATGAGGTTAGTCAAAGCCTCTTAGTGAGTAATTGCTTTGAAATTGCTTGGCTCTCATAGTTAATTCATTTATTTACTGTCTTTGGGCAGACTAGTCTCATAACTATCAAGAAAACCCTTGTTTTTTCTTTTCCAAGAAATATGTTTTTGAGATTACACACTATGTAACTAAAATAATACACTCACAGTGATTTTGAATACTGACTTAACAGCAATAGAATACTTAAAAATTTTTTTTAATGTTTTTATTTTATTTTTGAGAGAGACAGACAGACAGACAGAGCATGAGCAGAGGAGGGGCAGAGAGAGAGGGAGACACAGAATCCAAAGCAGGCTCCCGGCTCTGAGCTGTCAGCATAGAGCCAGGCTTGGGGATCGAATTCACAAACTGTGAGATCATGACCTAAGCTGAAGTCAGACGCTTAACCAATTGAGCCACCCAGATGCCCCATCAATTGAATACTTTTATATTCTGTATATTCTTAGGTTAAGTTATTTTTCTTCCAATTCTATGTTACTGGTTTATCAGAAATTACTAGTTTTAGGGGCACCTGGGTGACTCAGTCAGTTAAACATCCCACTCTTATTTCAACTCAGGCCATGATCTCACGGTTCGTGAGTTCAAGCCCCACATTGGGCTCCGCACTGACAATACAGAGCCTGCTTAGGATTCTTTCTCTCCTCCTCTCTCTACCCCTCCCTGGTTCAAGCTCATGCTCTCAAAATTAATCAATAAACTTAAAAAAAAATTTTTTTAAAGAAATGAATAATTTTACAAGGATTTCTTGTCCCATGACTTAGGATATTTTTTTCTTAAATTATGTTTGGAATCATATATATAATATATTTTATACAATTTGTTAATAAAATATATATTGATGCAGTCAATAGATATTATATAGAATATATAAACTATATATATTCTATACACATAAACTCAGACTGTGCTATTTTGGAATTTTGGATAATTAAAACATGTATGTGTAATTGAGTCAAAGTGGAAATCATTTAAAAATATATTGTTCTTAGTAAATGGGTGAAAGGCACAATTTAAGGTGCATAAACTGGTAAAATTTTATAGATCTCATTTCATCCAAAATCACCAAATCATTTGATGATGAGCATGATTTATCAGAATGCACATGTATTGAGGGGAAAATATGTAAAAACTGAAAAATATAAAATCCCATATTTGTATGATCTTGAGTGAACCATGGACTCTCTGATAACATTTGCCAATGCCAGGCTTCCTATCAGTTGGGTTGTACCTAAGAAGAGACATAGGGAGCATATGGATCAAGATCTCAAACCTAGTAAGCTCAGTTTTTTACTTCTGATTAGCAAAGGAGAACGGAATTTGCCTTAAAGAGATAATACAAAATAAATGCTGATTACAAACAGTTAAAATCCTTGATAATGGGTGAGAGGTGAAAATCTCAACATAACTATTAAACAACTTCCAAGAAATATAAAGCTACCACAGAATTTGGAGATGATTACTGTTATTACTCATCTTTACTCTTGTGGAAGAGAAGATGTCTAACAGAAAAGATAAATACTTCCCCCTTTCCATATTGTACAAAGTTCTAGGGATAACACACAATTCCTGAAGCAATGATTTTTACTGTTTAATACAATATTTATGTAGCATTTTTCAGTATTACAGTCTAAGCTCTTACAGTAACATGAACTACCTAATCTAGGTACCCATATGTGTCTGGATTCTCATGAGCAAGGAGAGCTTGAACATGGATGTGTCAGCAAATCAGCTGCAACATTCATGATTATAGTATTGCACCCTACACTGAGACTAGTATCTTTGTTCTTTGCAGCAAATCAGTGTATATTTTTTAGGTTTGCTCTAGTTTTAAAAATTCCATTTCCCCAGTAACAGAACCCACTTCCAAATTGGTGTAGTTCATCATAACCTTAAGAATTCAAGTACTTGAATGTGATGAATTGAGTCATAATGCAACAGAAACAGAAAAAAAAAAAAAAGGTTAACACTAATGTCTAACATATCTGAGCAATTTAAAGTCTCATTATAATGTTGTTTATGGCCTAAAGTGGGTGTTGTATCTATTGATAAAACCTTTTAATGTGTATTTCATTATTACTCTTTTCATGTCATTGAATTACATTATCATGATCCCACATGTCACTCTTTGAGCATTTATTATGATTTTTGTCAATTCAGAAGCTCTTAAATAAAAGCTTAAAATTGCTTGGAAATATCACAGCTATTTTATATCAGGATTTTTGTCAATTCAGAAGCACTTAAATAAAGGCCTAAAATTGCTTGGAAATACCTTTGGATACACTCACATGAAATTTGAAATCTGAAATGGCATATTTTGGAATTTCATTTGACTAGCTTTGCCAATACCACTTGTTAAATTTTTTTACACCCTACAAATGAAAAAGAAGTAAACAGAATAGATTAACAAGCAGTAAGAAGAACTCTTAGGTGCAGTACATCTTCCAAGGCCTCACTCAGTATCTCCCTTCTGGCAGAAGTTAGAATACATAGAGCTTTCCATTATGTTCTGAACTCCACTAAACTCCTACTATATTAAATAGAACAAGTATCTTCCTGAATTGAGAAGTTTACATTGAGACAAACTTGCCTTTGTGCAAATCAAGTTTTTCTTATCCATAATATTTATTTTCTTGTTCCAGCAGCTCTTATCATGAGATCAAAATATCTTACCATTCCATTTCTTCAAAGTTGTTTTCAATTTCCAACCAGAAGTCAAATTTCTAGCCTGAACAGTTCCTATAATTTATTAATACAACTGCATATCAATACAGTGAACACGTTAGTGAAGGGAAAATTAAAATGCAGAAATGTGGCTTTAATGGTGTTCATGTGATACCTGGAGACAGACACATCGCCAGCACCTGAAGTTTTTCTTCATAGCAACTATCATTTGGGATGTTATGGTATATGTGCGTGGTTATTTGCTTAAAGTCTCTCCCAGTGGTTTCTAGGAGGCCAGGTCCAGACTTGCTGACTGCTGATAAACTGTGCCAAGCCCTGTGTCTGATAGACTATGGTCTCAAAATATATTTGTTGGCAGAACTAATAAATGGGCCAATGCATATATAATAATGTGTACTGTAATAAATGTGCATAGAAAATGCTGAGAACATGGGAGAGGAAAGGTCAGGAGAGATTTAAAAGGCTTCATTAAAGAGTAAACTAACCCTTAAAATGTTGAATTTGCCAAGCTGGAAAAGGTGGGTCAGAGCACTAGCTTTAAACTAGATTTAAGCTCTCAGCCTGCCACATACTAGCTCTGCAGCTGTAGGTTTTCACATCTTTTACTGGGGTTACTCATAGTACCTGTCAAAAGGGCATAGAAAGGATTAAACAAGGTGACACATGTAAAGTGCTAAGCATCATGTGTGACACATCCTAAGTGTTCAACAATTACTAGAAATTGTTATGTTTGTCATCATTATTAGGCAGGGGCCACAGAATGAGCAACCCTAGGTTACTGGGAAGAAGATAGAGGAGTCAAGAACAAGAGAGATGGAATAAAAGATTGGGTGACTGGTGGATGGTGGGAGTAAAGGGACAATACTGACTATGTCTTAAAGAAGAATCGGTTTGGGAAGTGAAAAACAGATTCAGCTTGAATGTGTTGCTAATGT